AAAGCTAAAAAAAAAAGAGAGAAGAAAAAAATCGCATAACATTAAATAGAAAAACAAAGAAGAACTTACACATGATGATTGCTGAAGAAGTCTTGTGAAATCCGAGAAGAGCGTCGGAAAATGAAGCGAACACCGGAGAACGTGGGAGGTTTTATTTGCCAGAGAAAAAGGAAGTTCGAAAAATCTGAGTGCGGAAAGTGTGAGAAGAAAAAGGGGAGGGGAATTTATAAGGAGAGTAAAGAAACCCTAGCCCTTAGATTAAAGACAGATCCAACGGACGAAATGATGCACGGAGTACGAAGCGGTGGAGAGAGAAATGTTTTGTCAGATTCTAAGCCTTTTTTAATTTTGAAATTCAAAAAGAAATCCAAGCTTATCCGATCAATGTGAGAATATCCTTAAGTACAGCGAAAGAGTTTCTCGCAAGCCGAGAGATAAATATAGACGGTTGGGAATAAGGAGATCGACTGAGTAGAAATCCTATATAAGGGTTCAATCGACAAATTTACTCTTAAGCTTAGAATCGCTTCGAGTAATTTTTGGGGGGACTAGATGATATAGCCATACTGTCGTATAACGGTTCAGATATTATCGAGTCGATTTACCCGAAGTCGATTTCTTCTACGGACTCATAATATATCTCCGGTCTATAAAGGCCCAGGCATGTCTCTCAGTCGACTTCCATGTGTCGACTAGTAGAAGTCGACTCCCACCAGAAACACGGACAACCGCATCAAGGTCTACCAATGATCGAAGATAACCCAGTCGACTTAAGTTGATATCCCGAGTCGATTGAGGATTTCTAGAGGCTCATAGATCTCTAACGATTCCGGTACACTTCAACATGTCATAGGGAAGTTGTCAAGAATAAGAAGGAAGCTATTAAAGATAAGAAAAAATTTGGATGCTGACTAGGACATGGACGGAATGCGAACAGGCCAGGGTATTTTGGACATTTTCAGTAAGTCGGCCAGGGCATTTTGGGAACTTCAGGTTAATATTTTGTTTCTATATAAAAGAGCTGAGGTAACCCCAAAACCCTAACTCCCATTCATTCTATACTTTCCTCCATTACTGTTGCTGCTCTCTCAGAGCAGCTCTCTTCATCTCTTTTATATACTGACTTGAGCGTCGGAGGCTCTACGCCGGAAACCCCTCCGGCGTTGAGTTCTTGCAGGTGTGCACGCGGTCCAGCAACGGTTCGAGGATGATTGAGGCAGATCTGAGCTCGTTTCTATCAGTTCATCTCATATCCGAGTTTGTTTCCATTGATTCACTCTAGATCTGAGAAGAGACCCATCACTTTGATTCACAAATTATGGAGATAAAAGAAAAATTCATGAACACTCAATCTGTTCTCTTCTTCGAAAATATAATGTATAAGTTGCTTATCGCCAGGTTGGTGATCATATAATAAAAGATATATATTGGTTGAAAAGATTTATTTGACACTCCAAATCTTCAAATTGTTTTCAAGAAATATGTTCCCATCAGTATGACTCTTCAATGGTATGACAATCTTCAGACTTTCCAAAACTGATGTAAAAAGACATTTTTTTTATATGCAGGATTCTCCAAATTTGACTGAATCTTTATCATATCGTTAGTAGATATCCTTCCAATCTTCACAAAACACGTCCAGATCCCATAATCTTGTCTATATCTCCTCTTATCGTCAATATTCACCTTATGGAAAGTTTATACATGTAAAGAAACCTTGTAATCATATAACCATCACAAGTAAAGATATGTATTATTATATATAAAGTATTTATATATAAAAAAAAATATTGTGTTTCTTGCTCACAGATGTTGGAGTATAGCTCGGTGGGCCGCCAGAGAAGTGGGCCGTTTCGAAGAGAATTGTGTGAGGTTCAATCCTTAAACCCTCTCACAGAACTAGGCTATGTCCAAGGCCATCAATATACATATCAAATGAGAACTGGAGTATGTTAGCGAGAATCCTGTGTGAACTATATTTATCATTTACGAAAAAATATATACCAGTTCAAAGACATCTCGATCTACTGATCAGACAATATAGTTAATGTACTTTCACAAAAAAGGTTCAAAGGGTAACACCTACCTATCATATGTAGATTTTAGCTGTTGGACCATAACATTATTTGTTTTAATTTCATTCATGTGGGGGATTGTTGAAAATATGAATGGAAGTTAAAACATGCATTGTATGCTTTTGTGCTTATTTTTATCTGATTTTGTGATGAGTTGGGTCAAGTTTTAGGCTTTTATTTGTGTTGTTCCGGTCCATTTTGTTCTTTTCCATCAATTTTCATTTTTATGTTTATGGTTTTGTATTTTTGAGCTTCTCGGTACTTTTCAGTGTTTTACAGGTTTGAGAAGGAAGAAGATAATTTAGAGTGCATCACCATCATCGAGTAAAAATTTCAACAACTATCAATTAGCGGCCCGAGTTTAAATTCGTTGGTCAATGTCTGGGCACTCTCCTGTTAAAGACTTCCAAAAGTCTCACTCGCATACAGAGACTTGCACGCCCGCCAGTTGTGACACAGTGTGGGCCACAAAAATCGCCCGACGATGAATACTTGCAGTCTCACGAATTGTGAATAGCGTCACCTGGGAAGCTCACGTTCACTCGCCCACTAACCCTCTTTCACCAAGGCGCAAGTATCACAAACCCCAGCTCGCCGAAGACTGGAATCGCCAGCCAATTTCTACCAACATGAACACGAGTAGATTCACCAGCACTTGTCGGATGATGATGGTTCTTAAGCACGTAAGTACATCGCGCAGATCGCTTAGCTCGCTGAGGACACTCGTCTGCAAAAGTCGTCTCTTCGAGTCGCGAGTGTCGATCATTTAATGTGTGTTTTTTCAATGTGTGTACCCTTGGTCATAAAAGCAATTGTCATTTTCATTTCAAAAACACTTTCCACTTTTTCATCTTTAGTAATTTCCTTAGATTTTTTTCTTATCTCTATTTTACAATTCCTCTTATGAGAGCTCCAAGACTTGATTTTAAATGTTCTGCTTTACCGTCAAGATGTGTACTTTGTTTTTGCTACTACTTATGAATACAACTAGGGACTTGGAGACCTATTTTAGGACCCTAGATCTCGTAAGTTTTTCTCGGCTTACTTACTTGATTTTCGGTGAATTTCGCTTGAGTTAAGTTGGGTTTTTCCTAAGTATAGTAATTGTTCTTGCTTAAATTGTTAGTCTAAGATAATTTAGTAGTCGATTACGTATTTTTTAAACATTAAAAGATTAAGACTTTGTTAAAAGCTTGATCATTTATGTTTTGAATGATCGTTTTTAATGTCATAGAATTTTAGTATTCGCTTGTTTGATTATAAGTTTTTGTTTGCTCAAGTGTTGCAGACTCCAAGGTTACTAAATGTGTAAACTTTAGTTAATTGCTCTTCATTGCTCGTAGTCAATTAAATTAAATTAGTTTAATTCAACCCAACTAAACTTGGCTAGGATCTTTAGAATTTGATTTCTATTTCCTTGTTTGACAACTTGGTCGTGAGACAAGCTACGAATGTCCTCCTTTAGAGACGCTTCGAGGTTTCAGCTACTCGGTTAAATTAATTGCAAAACTATGCTCAACATAACATAACATTGGATTTTGTATACGAGTGTTTAATTCACATCTTGCAACTTTAATTTGTAACTTAGGTTTTAATGTTGCAAGACTTTTATCTCGACTTTGTTAACTCTTGTTTTTTTTTCCGAAACGACAGATAATATTATAAATCAAAATGCACAAAAGTGCGAATACACAGCAGCCAACGGCTGAATACACAACAGCCAACAGCTGAAAAAATGGGAGGACATGTCAGAAGACCGCCTAGAATCCCGGCTAGCAAAGCTAGAATAAAGAAACGCTACTAAACTAACCAACAAACACAACAAAACACAACTAAAACAACTAAAAAGACCCCAACAGGGTAATACTCGAGTGTCGGATCCCCATAAGATAATAAATTTGACACTCGGGCTCACAGGGGCCAACGACCCAGACTAAAACACAATAAAATAATAAAAAAACAAAATAATAATGTAGGCTAATGCTCAATCATTACTCAATTCATAATCAAAATCTAACTCAACCTCCGTATCCTTAACATTATCAATATAATTAAATAATATCAACCAATCATTCTAGCACATCATATCCACTTTAATTTATTATTCATCCAGTCACATAGTTTTAACTAACTTTCATTTCATATCATCTCTCTCATACTTTTACATCAAATCAACTTTAATTATTTTATTTTAAATATTATTTTAATATAAAATCAACATCCAACTAACAACTAACTATATCACTCGTTTCAAGATTAAATATGGTTAACAAAAAGAAAAATTCATTTTGAGCGGATATTTTTTATACAAACACGCCCTTAAAGTCTTTTCCCTCCATCATTTATTTTAGAGAAATGCTATAGGTAAAGCAATAGATCAGAACAATCTCTCTAGATATGCTCAAGATGTTTGGGTAGAATTAAAATCTAGATATGCTCCTTCTACTGGTCGTGTTTTTCAACTGGAAAAATCCTTTGAGTACAATAGATCATGGCAATCTCTCTATTACCTAGTACTATAACTCTTTTGAATATGTTTGGGACGAATATGTGACCTACATGCCGATTTTTAAATGTCTTTGTGGTGCCTTTACTTCTTGTTCTTGCAATATCTTTAAGGCAATGTCCACTGCTCAACATAATGATTTGGTTATGAAATATTGGGTTAAATGATTCATACTCATCTCTTAGGAGTCATTTTATGTTATCTACTCCTCTTCCCCCTCTCTCTCTCTTTTCTTTTTCTTAGAAAAATGTATGCATATATACTATATTTTGACTAAATATGTGAAAATAGTGTATTTAAAAAAATGTTCAATTTGATAGTTTAAGTGATAATCTATCAAGCAGAAGTCCACAATGGGATTTTATTGATTGTTTTTTGAACCGTCGATTTATATTGGTGTTTATGAGTGTTTTTGCCAACTATTTTGGGGGTTGATCTTTATGGGCTTTAATGAGGGCTTCCTCTATCTCTTCCTCCACCTCTTTTACCTGTGCGTGATCACATGAAAAGACATTTGTTAGTGTTTGTTTTTTTGTTATATTTACATTATCATTCTGCAGAATGTATTTTGACTCGTATATATTCTTGATGACATAAGCATGTGCATGTAATATATATGAGTTGTGTGTAATATGCATTGCAAAGATAAAAAGTGATTATCGATCCATATGTATCGTTAATTTTGGTGTGTTGTCAAAATCAATTATTCATACGTAATTGATGATCAGGAGAACTCATTTAATAGAATTTGTTGGTGACTTGAAAACACCATTTGCCATGTGTTTCTTGCAGTTTCACAATTATTGCCATACTTGAAGATAGGCAAAATTATATAAAAATGATTTTAATCTAGCTAGGAAATTTTTCTCATTTATATTATGTAATTCAATATCTTTTAACTACTTGATAATCTATTTAGTTGAAAATCTCTCGTATAAGAGCTTTTTCTTTTGCCGGGGTGCCTTCTTCTCTCGTCGGAGAGATCCTTCTCTTGTAGGAGAGCTCGGACATTTTTCTTTCTCCTAGATTTTTACCAATCGCAGCGAGGACTTCTGACTTTTGCCCTCTAATTGAAGCTAGGGTTTGGTAATTTTTAGGGTTATGATGAAGGTTCGATTTCTAGTAACGCAACGGATGAAGTGGAACAGCGCTTGAGGACTTTTTTCTCTCTCAGCAGTCGATACTCGATCATCGGTATTGGTGATAAAGATGTCAAAGCCAGTATTGAGGAATGCCAAAAGAGCCTTTTTGGGAAGACTGTGGGCGACAAACGTGTTAATTTGGTGGGTGTCAGAAAGGCCATGGGTCAAATTTAGAGACTTAAGAATTTTCTAGAGATACGGGAACTGGGGGTTAACTTCTTTTAGTTAATATTTGAAAATCAAGAAGATCTCACGAAAGTAGCAGGAGGTACTAATTGGATATTTGAGAATCAATATCTGATTCTTAAAAAATGAAAGGAGGGGCTGAAGAGCTCAAAGAAATGTTTCAACTAACTCAACCCCTGGGTACAAGTTCATCATGTGCCGTTGAACTGGCTCACATCTGAGGTGGGGCTCAATATTAGGCAGAATTTTCAAATTTGTATCCAACGTGTTAGTCATCAACATATGATCTCAAGGCGGCAAGTTGATCAAACTCTTAGCCATAGTTGATATTACTGAAATCCTGCCGAGATGTGCCTCAATTTGATTAGGAGCTCAATCAATCACAGTCATCTTCAAATATAAACGGCTTGTGAATCTATGTTTCAGTTGTGGCAAAATTGGGCACATTGAAACGAGTTGTAACCAAAGGTGACTGATGTCAGTGCTAATGTCCTGACAGAGGGCCAATTTGGTGAATGGTTGAGGGCAACTGAAGGCTTGCGGGGACAAAGTTGAAATAACTCTAGCTCTTCCTCGGAGTATCTTAGAGAACCAGATCTTCCTCAATCCCATAGCTATCAATGTTGGGATCTATGAGGATCTCGTTATGTACAAGTGACGAATTCAATAGCAAACGTAAATCTATGCGCAACGGATCTAATGGTTTGACGTAGGAAACTTACGACTTAAAATTTTATCTAAATCTGGCAGATTCGGATTGACCCGGAATATCACACGAACAGAAGGAAAATTTTGGCCAGTTCGGGTCGTGCGTGGTAATCGGATAGCCGAGGAGTCGCGGTGTCGCTATCGGCGGTTTGGGCGTCTGCTCCGGCAGGATCTCGGCGGTAGTCTGGCTGCTCGGGGTCGACGATCGCGGACTTTAGGTCGTGGTCTATCGGATCTGGGGTTGATCACAATGTCTCAATTACCTTCAGGATCTTCTACTGTATTACTCTTACACCTCTTCAACTTGTATCGGTGGAGCAACAAGAAGAAGATAAAGCTCGAACAGAAACTTGAGAGAGAGAGAGAGAGAGTGCGTGCGTGTGATATATTGCATAGGTAGGAGAATTATGATCTATTATTCTCTTTTCCATGGCCTAATGATGTATATATAGAGCTACAGTAGGGACCCTTAGAAGATTCGGAATAGGGTTTCTTAATTAATAGATTAACTGTGGGCTTGACCCACTCCTCAAATTAAGTAATTAATATTATGGGCCACTAACATAATATTATTGCACTCCATTTTCCTAGCCCAAATTACAATTGAGACTCCAATAATAATTACCTGAATTACCTCTCCATGTTTAAGATATAATGTTCATTAATTAATCAATTACTGATAATCAAGAATTAACTAATATATTATTATTTCTCCGAAGTTAGCGCTCGTTCATCACATTATCATTATGTCGGAATTTAATCTACCTGCAGGGTTTAGCATAATAATACTTCATGAAATTACTTCGGGGACATCATTAGTTGTGAATCAAAATAATATATACTGCATATATATGTCTGTTTAATATCTTACGGGTTAAGAGAACGCAGTAATTAAGCAAGGCCTAGTTCGTTTACGACGATCGGTATAAAACGAACTTCTCCTCTCTGGGATCCTGTTCAATACATAAATGTACTAGCGCAACTAATCAGTCAAGACAAACTGTATTGTTGACACTACAACCATTCAGATGGGGTGTTTATTTCTATCTAGGTTGTGAACCACAATTCTTGTTTCGCAAGTAACTGATCGAATGATCTTCGGTTCGCCCAATGACGACCCATTCTATCTAAGTGCAAAGAAACAGAACATATAACTTGTTTAATCTAACATTATTCTCATTCATAAAGGGTAAAAGTGTAATATCATCCAAAGCCAAGCTTTCAGTATATAACACTAAAAAATCTCCCACTTATACTAAAAGGTTTCGCTTTTACAAGTAGTTTTATCAGTCCGTTATTTTAAAAGACCTATGTCGATCCTATCGCCATACACCTAACTCTCATTCCTTCCCCATGTTTGATGAAGACCTTCCCTGGAAAACTCTTCGTGAAAGATCAGCTAGGTTGTCCTCTGATGCAATCTTGGCAACATCAACGTCTCATCTGCCCACTATTTCTCGTATCAGATGGTATTTGCGCTCTATGTGTTTACTTGCTCTGTGTGTTTGTGGTTCCCTTGAGTTTGCTACTACTCTAATGTTATCACAGTACACGGTGAAACAACGTGGCAAACTCGAAATCACCTTAAGTCCACTAAGAAGTTTCTGAGCCATATTGCCTCTTTCGCAGCCTTTGAGGTTGCTATGTACTCGGCTTCCATGGTGGAGTCTGCAATGCATTTCTGCTTAGCACTTCTCCATGAAATGGCTCTACCGCCCAAGATAAACATATAACCTGAGGTTGACTTACTCTCGTCCCTATCTGTCTAGAAATCGGAATCACTGTAACCCAGAGGTAACAAGTTGTCTGCACGGTAAATTAATATGTACTCCTTAGTCCTTCTCAGGTACTTGAGTATATGTTTCGCCGCACACCAATGTTCTCGTCTCGAATTACTTTGATATCAAGCTGCCATGCCAACGGCATAGCTAATATTCGTCCTCGTACACAGCATAGCATGCATAAGACTTCCTACTGCCTAAGTATAAGGAACTGTCTTCATGTCTTCTATCTCTTGAGACGTCTTAGGAGACATCTCTTTGGATAGACTTATTCCACTCCTGAAAGGCAATATACTTTTCTTAGAATCCTGCCTGTTGATTCTAGCCAAGACAATATCTATGTATGAAGACTGGATAAGCACAATATTCTCTTCTTACTGTCTCGAATGACCCTAATACCAAGAATGTGTCCTGTTTCACCTAAGTCCTTCATATCGAACTGTTTAGACAACCACACCTTTACATATGATAACTCCTTCTTACTGGTTCCAATAAAAAGTATGTCATCTACGTAAAGCACAAGAAACACCACCGCGCTCCCACTGATTTTCTTGTACACACGTTGCTCATCCGGACATAGAGTGAACCCGTACGACTGGATCACCTCATCGAGCCGGATAAACTCACTTTGAATAGAAAGCATGGTGGTCTAGGCTTTCAAGATATTCATATGTTCAATGTTGCCCTAATAGCCAAACAAATCTGGAGATTGGTGACTCAGCCTGACTCACTGGTTAGTAGAGTTTTAAAATATAAAAAATTTTCCTAATTCTTCTGTTTTTGATACCCACATAAAACATAATTCTACATGGCTATGGAGTAGTTGGCTCTCAATTCTGAAGGACTGTGGAAAGTGGATGCAAGTGGAGATTATGGATGGAACAAACACAAGGATATGGGACCAATAGTGGATCCCTAACCACATTGGTAAGTCAGTTCCACTCCTGGAGGGCATTAATAGGAATATTAATTGAGTAAGGGACTTCATTACTTCAGATTGAAGCTGTTGGCATGAAAACAAAGTAAGTAGTACTTTTCCCTCTAAAATTAGTGACTCAGTTCTCAGTATAGCCACTATCAATCATAATCAGCTTGACAGATGGATTTGGAACATGCATCAGAATGGTATTTCTCGGTTAAATCCACTTATGCTCATCTTATCACTAGGAAATTTCTTCTTCTTGACCAACCACAGTGAAGCAATGATATGGCTTTGGACACCAAAATTAGTGAAAGGAGCTGGAAATTGAAAGTTCTGGGGAAATTAATAAAACATTTTATTTGGAAATGCTATAATGGTGCCTTATCGGTTGGCCTTAATCTGCGAGCTAGAGGAATGGAGATAGATGTTACCTGTGCAATTTGTGGAGAAGGTGAGGAATCGATTGAACATGTTCTTTTTCATTGCCACCAAGCTAAACAGGTGTGGAAGCTAGCCCCGGTCAACTGGACTGGACCACAGACTCATGGATCATTCAAAACTTGGTGGTGGCAGGTCTGTCAGCTTGATAGGAGTGACACATCAGAGGCAACACTCCAATTGTACACCTATATCCTTTGGTGGCTTTAGAAATGCAGGAACCTTTGGGTGTTTGAAAAAATTAAAAGACCTGCTCGCCTAATAGTCCATCACTACAAGAAAATGATGAAATTCCAACGGAAATATATTTAAAAAGAATTATTCCAACGGCAATTCCAACGGATATTTCATACTATTATTTCCGTTGGAATTTTTCAATGGATTCCAACGGAAATTTCAACGAAAATATTCCGTTGGAATAGGTTTTCCATTGGAATTTCCGTTGGATTTTGACGATTCCAACGGTGGATTTTCCAACGGGGGTGAAAAAAAAAATTCCAACGGAATTTGCATATTCCAACGGAAATTCCTACGGTAAAAAACCGTTGGAAATATAGCCGTTGGAATCATCAAATTCCATCTAAAATTCCAACGAAAAATACATTCCAACGGAATATTTCCGTTGGAATTTCTGTTGGAACTATTCCAACGGAAGCTATTCCATTGGAATATCCGTTGGAATTTCCATTGGAATATATTACCATAGGAATTTCTGTTGGAATATAACATTTATTTTGTAGTGCATGCAGCCATGACTGGTTGACTTATATGGAAAATAGGGTGGTTATGGACTTAACTTCGTTGTTCTTTTTTTTCTTCTTTTCTTTTAGTTACTGTACTCTCTAGTTAGGACAAGAGTAAGGGTTTCGGTTGTTTGTAACTGTCTTCCTCTTGTATTTCGTTCTGTTTGTTTTATTTTCTAGATCACATGTGTGTGGTTCTCCCAGTTGCTCGATGTTTCCATGGTTGTTTGCAGTTGATTGTTTGAACTTTGGTTTGTGATAATGAGAATATCTATCAATTGAAAAAAACAAATTAAAAAAATAATATTATAAAAAAGATAATCTATATATTTAGTTATTTTCCGGACAGGGTGTATATATATCTTGCGTCCTGAAACAGCCATTTTAGTTGACAACCTAACCTATTGTCCCCACGTTTTTTTCATTTACATGTTGGAAAATGACAATAAAATTTTTTTATGAAAAATGATCACTAATATACAAAAATAGAATAATATGGCTATTTTGGCACTTTTCTACAAACAAATTTTAATTTTGTTTTCTCAACCCCTTTGAAAAAGTTTATGAAAAAACATATATCCAGCCTGAAATTAAATCTCCAGATTTCATTGGGAGGATAATGATTAATAATATACCACCCAAAAATAAATAAATAAATAAGTAAATAAAAACTACCTCGCTAAGATGGTAAAAATTTCCAATAGGCAGGTAAGATGAATAAGTGAATAGAGTTGAGAATATATAATGACCTGGTGAACAATTTCTTGAGCTCTTTTGGCTTCTTTAGCAGCCATTCTGGTGAGATCCTCGAACGAGTCGAGCGTCTCCTTCAACTTCGAGTCATCCGGAAGCTTCTCCTCGACTTCCTCGGCTATCTTCTCCGCCTCCTCCGCTATATCCTCCACAACCTCCGTCACATTCTCCACCGTCTCCATCGCTTGGTCGATTTTCACTACAATTAACACCATTTAATTATTCATTTATTTATACATTTTTTACATATCATGTGATGAGATAGAAGAGAATAAAAAAGTTGGTAATATATAGCAAACCTTTAAGGCCCAACAGAAACCCCCCTTTATGACCAGCTGCTGGTAGGATCACACTTAGTAATACCCCCAATAACCATTTTTTCCTACATTTTTAGTCATCAAACTAAATAATATGACAAATTCATACTTTTATTTTTATTTTTGCCAAAAGGGTCTATTTAGTTGATTACAATATTGAGGGTGATCGGTTAGAAGGCGAAGAAGGCGATGGTGATGATGATGGAGAAGAAGCCATGGCTCGGAATTTGCTCGACAGTTGTTTCGGTCGCCTTGTATTTCGATCATCTCTAGTCGAAGAACATGTAATTATCTTAAGTAAACGTTTCGAAAAAATATATATATATATTGAAAGAATAAGGAAATACTACATTACCGTTACGAATTATTCCATCGAGGTTTATAACCGTTAGATCATCATGTAACTGTTGGGAATAGTTGATCTAACGGTTACAAACCCCGACATGATTCCGTAACAAGACCGTGGCATCTCCCGAAAGAAATAAAGAACAATAGAAAACACATCATACGTACCGAGAAAACTTCGAAAAGAGATGAGGTTGAGCTTGAACAATGTCTTTTAAGCAGTTTCTCGAATGAAGGACATGGATTTTGTCACAGGCTCTTGAAATATTGCAGGTGATATACAAATTTGGTGATGTACCTGCAATGTTTGTAGACATTTTTTATTTTTTTTTTTCAACTTTGGTACTTCATAAAAAACACTAACCAAATCTTCATGTATATTGTATCGCCTCTAATTATTGGTGTTGGTTGTTTTATCATTATTGTCATGCTATTATTAAAAATATGTGGTGACGAGTCACATGGTCCATTCTATTCAATGAATATTTTGGGGACCAAAAAACGTTTTCACTGTCTTTACTCGGAAAGTGTTGAGCCTAAGTGACAGACTTGCATGCTTCGAGATCCTATGTGGCAAAATTACATGCTTCGTTGTTGTTAGGCTTGAGTAGATTTTAATTTACATCCAATCCAAAACTAATTAGGTTTGGATTATCCATAAATATGTTGATCATTTATGGTCAAGTTACATGTATTAATTGTATTTTAGTATCATCCCTCCTATATATTAATTCAAAACGTGTTGATTCTAAGTGGCAGATTCTCACGCTTCGGATGCTGACATGGCGAAAATCTATAATTCGTGATGTTATTTTTATATTATTTTTGCTATGGAGTTAGGTTTGGTATACTACAACATAAATGGCTTTTTGTAAGGCTATCTAATGTATCACTTTACAAATAGGTAATACTTTTGGTAACACTTTACAAATATAAGTGTTACCAAAAATTACCACAAGTATTACCTATTGTAAAATGATACATTAGATGGCGCTACAAAAAGTCATTTATTAGACATAAATAACATTACACATATTTTTAACGCAATACCTATGTTGTACATGGGTATTAGTACTAGTTTCTTATTATAAACAATTGAATTGTAAATGTATTTTAAAAGTTAATAATTTTTGTATTTTTTATCAGTTTTACATATATAATATATCAAATTAATCATTTCTTGATGAATTTTCATTTAATATCCATATTGTATGTATAAAGAATAAATTATATTTATCTTTATAACAATAATAAAATTATTTTTTAATATTAATTAAAAAAATAAGATTATTCATCAATTAATATATTTATATTTCAAGTAGTCATATGATATAAATTATAAACATTACTATAATATAACAAATTTAAATCGCACATGTAATATATATCATTCTAAAATATAATAATATATATTTATTTTAAGTAAAATAAAATTTAATATAAATCTTTTCATAATTTTAAAATTTAAAAATAAATTTTTAACAAATATTCATGTACTATATGAGTGTATAGTACTAATTATTTTTTTCAATTTAGAGAAATGCAATTGAAAGCCGAAAACATATATAGCAGAATATGATATATCGGCTTGATTTACATGTGCGCTAATAATAATTGGACAAGATAAGAGGTTTATTGCTAGTGTCCGACTTATCTTGTCCGCTACCTAACTAATGTTCAGATTGCATTTATTATACGCACCCAACTTTGCTAAGAAACCAGATGGTTGGTTCCCTTATGGAACCAACCACCAATGAGACAGTGCCACATGGGGCTGTCCCACATGATTTTTATGTGGGACAACCC